ATCAGCTGCCTTCAGAGTCGGATATCAGTAGGGCAGAAGAACAGCTGGAGCCTGTTCCCAGCACATGCAGAGTTGCCAGATGAAGGGAACAGCTAAAGAACAGGGGTTGACTTGGGAGTAAGACCATAGGTGGATAATGAATGGCCCCTCCCAGAGGAAATAAAAGAGGAGCGAAAGGGGAGTGGAGTTTGCAGGAGACAATTAGTTTGCTTAATTGGTTTGTGACTCTCCAAGACTCCTTGCCAAGTTTTGCAGATATTGACCTGTCAGCTCTCCAAGCCAGATACGGTCTGTGACTATAAATCCTCTTTATGGAAGTGAATAGGCACAGAATTCACTGTAAATTAAGAAAAGGGGATTTTGCCAGGACAAGGAGTTGGTTTCATGCTCTTGGGAAGCCTCAATCAGAACAATCAGAGACACGGCATAGATTCATTACATTTTAATCCAGACTCTCATCCCAAAAGCTGTATCCGCTTCTATGTCTAGACTCGACTTAACCACAATTGAGCTGGGGGATTTCTATTGCTAAGCAAGCTGGTGGTTAAATGAGGAGCGCCCGATTTTTTGACCGTTTTTGCCACGGCTGTTAAGGGGGTTCACTGCAGTTGTTAAGTAAATCAAATGGTCATTAAGTAAAGCTGGCTTCCCCCATTGGCTTGGCTTGTCGGACGCCTGGTGGGAAGATCACAAGTGGCTCTCTCACTGCACGACACTGCAACAGTCCTAAATATGTGCCCATTTCCCAGGCATCCAAATCATGAAACATGTGACCATGGAGATACTGTGACAGGAGTTAAGTCACTTTTTTTTCAGTGCCACACACAGTAACTTTGAACAGTCTCTAAGGGAATGGTTGTAAGTTGAGAACTACCTGTAGGAGAAGGAGAAATGTTCCATTAGTCTGAGCACATCATCAAATGAGTGGAAAAATATCGGAAGTCAAGGCAAGGGCTGTGTTGCTATTAAGGTCATCGGAAGAGCTGTTGACCTTTGTTCTTATAGCTTCCGACCAGAAATTCTGAAAGGGACACAGTGGCTGAGTGGCTAAGATGCTGAGCTTGTCGATGAGGCAGGTCAGGAGTTCAGCGGTTCGAATCCCTAGCGCCCCATAACGGAGTGAGCTCCCTTGACTTGTCCCAGCTTCTGCCAACCTAGCAGTTCGAAAGCACGTTGAAATGCAACTAGAAAAATAGGAACCACCTTTGGTGGGAAGGGAACAGCGTTCCGTGCTCCTTTGGCGTTTAGTCATGCCGTCCACATGACCACGGTGACGTCTTCGGACAGCGCTGGCTCTTTGGCTTTGAAATGGAGATGAGCACCGCCCCCTAGAGCAGGAATGACTAGCACATATTTTGCCTTGTAGAAATTCTGAGAGTTTTCCGCCACTCCATGATGGGCAATACACAAAAAGTCCTATGGAAAAAACGTAACCTCCACTCTCTTCTCTATGGCACAGTTCCAACTGAGCCATGTACCCACTGCAAACATTCCAGACCCCAATTACAGGTAGTCCTTGACTTATGACCACAATGGAGCCCTGGGTGACTGTTGTTAAGGGAGACATTTGTTAAGTGAGCTTTGCCCCACATTACAACCTTCCTTTGCCACAGTTGTTAAGAGAATCACTGCAATTGTTAAGTAAATCCGGCTTCCCCATTGATTTTGCTTGTCAAATGGTTGCAAAAGGGGCTCCCATGACTGTAAAGGTTGTAAATATGAACCTCTAAATATGAATTTTGATCACGTGGTCATGGGGATTCTGCAAAGGTCGTAAGTGTGAAAAAACGTCATGCCACTATAACTTTGAACGGCCACTAAATGAACTCTTTACACCAAGGACTACCTGTAATCCAGTAGGAAGGCAGAAGATAACAATAGCAATAGCACTTAGATTTATATACTGCTTCACGGTGCTTTACAGCCCTCTCTAAGCGGTTTACAGAGTCAGCCTCTTGCCTGCAATAATCTGGGTCTTTATGTTACCAACCGTGGAAGGCTGAGTTAACCTTGAGCCAGTGAGAATCGAACTGCTGGCAGTTGGCAGAATTAGCCTGCAATCACTGCACCACCAACGGCTCTGATAAAAAGTGCAGACATCCCATTGGTTTTACTATCAATTCATTGATTTAGGTATGGGCCAAGTCAAACAAGTCAGGATCCAAGAATAAAAATAAAATAAAAAAGCAATTCACTCATTTTTAGTGAAAATGGCAGGGGATGGAAGAGTGGGGGGGGGGGCATAGGTGAGCCAAATTGAGCATCGCTCCTGGGGAGAAAAACATGCTAATTCTAGTCCCTCCTCTATCCTTTGATTTCACAGGCACAACTCCAGCTCAAGATTTCACTGCCAGGGGATGTGCTGTTGAAAACAACATCTTCAAAAACGGTTCCAGTCTGGTCTCAGGAGACACAACTTATGCACTTGAAATTGTCACTTTTCAGGATGCCAAAAGTGGTGCCAGCCAGATTTCCAGTTGCCTATCTTTTGCTATCCTTCTGCCCAGTGTCCTTTGGTTGCTACTGGACAGATCCCTGTATTAACCCCAACCTACCAATGACCTCTCGACTCAAATGTGTGTGTGTGTGGAATCTCCCATTGAATTGTACCAAGGAATCCGAGAGGTTTTGGCTTCAGCAATTGTTGGTGCCCATGTGTGTCTCAATTGCTGGTTTTTGAGTCTCTCTCTCTCTCTCTCTCTCTCTCTGTGTGTCTCTCTCTTTTCTCTTTGTTCAGTAAAAAGGGATTTTAATGTATCCAATTAATGCATATCTTAAATAAGAATAGAAATGAACGTTGGTGTTAAGGATGCCACGCAAGTACAGGAATCCCAACGATACAGATGTTGTTTAATTTAATGAGATTTTTACATAGTGGTTTGAAAAGGCTTGGTTAAGATTGGAATAGATTAATTGATTTAAATAATTAAGCTTCCAACGATTGAGTTAAGGCTATAATCATCATACTGAAGAACAAAAATATATATTGGTGTGTCGTTTTTTTTCTGATGATGTATGATTCCCATCTAAGGGGCACCCTTGTGTATGTGTGTGTGTGTGTGACATTGTAATGGAATGTCTCTTATAAGACAATGCCATCTTTCATTTTTTCTTATATTTAAAAAAAAAATCAACTCAGAATAAATGTGCCTGACAATTATTATTTAAATAAAAAACAAATTAGCAAACTGTGTTCAGAAGTAAATCAATGGCATCTATTTTCTTATAAATGCAATGGTGGGATTCAGCCGGTTCGGACCAGCTTGGACAAATCGGTACTTATATCCAGCAGCTGGGGCCGCCCACCCACCCACCTTGGCGCTATCTCGTCTATATAATCACCGTGGTTTTGATACAGAGCACATGCGCGCAAGGCACACATGCAAGCAAAGTTATCCCATCTTATACAATCGGCGTGGTTTTGACACAGCGCACATGTGCGCAAGGCCCGTGCTCACATTTTTTATTCTGGGCTAACGGGTTGTTAACTTATGTGAAGCCCACATCTGTATAAATGGGTGTAAGGTCATTGATGGAGACAAGATTGGAACATGTTCATAGAATTTTAGGGCTGGAAGGGACTTTGGAGGTCTTCTGGTCTAACCCCTTGGCTAAGGCAGGAGTTCTTATTCCATCCCCAACAAATGGATATCCCATCTTGAAAACCCATGACCCTGGAAGGCAAGCTGTTTCATTGACTAATTGGTCTCCTTGCCAAGAAATTTCTTCTTTCCTTTAGGTTGGTTCTCTCCTTGATTGGTTTCGACCCATTGCTTCTTGTCCCACCCTCAGTGAATCAACTGCAAGTTATCCATTGTTTCCTTCTGTTCCTTGGTCATGTTTTGCTCAAGAAAACTCAGGTTTTACTGATAGCTTCTAACTGCCAGGATGACACTAGATCAAGATGAAACTTAAGCCTTCCAAAGAATCAGTTTTAGGGTTGGTCCCGGGAAAGACCATGTTTTGTCTTGATTATTTTTTTCTTCCTTGTATTTGCATCCTCTCTCTTAAGATTGTGAACCCCCATTGACCATGAATATTGACCTGTGATAGATAGAATGGAATGGAATAGAATAGAATAAAATAGGGAGTAGAAAAGAATAGAATAATGGAATGGAATGGAATGGAATGGAATGGAATGGAATGGAATGGAATAGAATAGAATAGAATAGGATAGGAGTGGAGTGGAGTGGAATGGAATGGAATGGAATGGAATGGAATGGAATGGAATGGAATAGAATAGAATAGAATAGAATAGAATAGGAGTGGAGTGGAGTGG